ATGGGGAGGCCCGTGTGGCTGTGATGAGGAACTGAGGCTTCCTGCCAACGTCCATGCGAGTGACCTACGGTAGGAGCAGACTCTCCATCTCAATGAAGCCTTCAGGTGGCTGCAGGCCAATTGATATCTCGACCACATGGGAGATCCTGAGACCACTGAATCTGCTTTCCAATTCCTGATTCGCAAAAACTGGTAAAAAACTATTGTTGCTTAATAATTATGCATCAATGGGAAACTAAATTAATGATGTAGAAGACACAATTTACATTTCCAGTCTCCTTTGCAGATAGAACAGAGGCACTTGAATACAGCTGCCGATCTGAAGCAATGTGTGACATTTTACTCCTAAAGTAGAAAAAGACTCAGGCTCTGTGTGGGAATTCCATGTTTTCTGACTGAGGTGATGGTTTGCCATGGCAGCAAGTTCAAGTTACTGGCAAGGAAATGGCATGAAAACACGGCCCTTCCTTCCAGTTCTTACTCAAGTCAGCAAAGGTGTGAATGGAACTAATAAAACTATTTATGTTCCTTTTGGACTTCAAGGCAGATTAAAGGTTTAAGGGCACTTTGTATCTCTTTACAGGTATGGGTAAGACCCAAACATTAAAATATAGATTTAACTACCCCCACAAAGCAAAATAAACAGAAGGCAAAGCTTACCGTATTATAATATAAATGATAACATTTGGAAAAATAGTAATGATTATAGGATATTAAATTCTAATTACTCAAGTTAAAGTGCAATTTCTTTTCCCAAAAGCATAGTTTCTTATTATTAATACATGGGGTGCTGAAAATGACTCACTACATTATAAAACTGACCCAAACGAAAAAGTATTTCAGTGAATGTTTACAAAATTGAAGCCGCATGGAAACAGGTGAGACTCAACGGCAGAAGGATGAGTCTCCGACTTCCCGGGTTGTCTGATGAGCTTAGGAATGCAGAGAAAGCACTTCTTGATTTCCACTTCCGAATTTCCAGTCTGACAACATCCCGGGCACAGCAGCTATGTACTTTCTTTCTCAGTAAGACTGATTCTTTGCGACTAGCTCTCCACAGGCAGGCGTGCTCACGGCCCGAAAGGGTCTCTTCCTTCCCCATCTCCTGTGCCGAACTTGTCACCGGACCTTCCACCTTCTGATCAAGTCTGGTGAGCACTTCCAGAGGCTCGTGCTAAAGAGGTTGGATCATCTCATGAAGAGAGGTGGCCTGAGCTCTTTGGAGCTGGCTGCCAGGCTTCTGGGGAAAGCTGAAAATACTCTTAGTCCTTCAGGCACGAGAGCAAGGATGACCCTCCCCATTTACTGCAGGATTGTGGAGGTCTCCTGCTTTGGGAGGCCCGGGTCCCGGGGCAGATCTCAGCTAAGGCTGCAGACAGAACTGGAGAGCATCATCCTCAGTGCCATCATGAAGAGGGTGGCAGGCCTCAGCTGAGCATGATGGTGCACAAGTCCACCCTGGAGGAGAATTTACCCAGCGTCTCTGACCCTCTGCTTGCACACGAGATTCTTAACTAGGCCAGGACCGCCACTTCTGTCCTTCTCCCAATCTTCTTTCCACTTTCTGTCAGGTCCTCTTCTACTTATGGGCCTCAGACAACATCATGACTTCTTTTGTATTATGATATTGGAAGTCAAATACACTCATGGAAATGACAGAAGTCTCAATCCAAAGGATGAGGCCCAAGGTTGAAGTAAACACCTGAGTCTCAGTCTATGTCTCTCTTTAAATTCTAATAAGAGTACGCAGTGTTTTCATACAGGTACCATCTTTATACTTCTTCAGAAGCACTCAAAGACAACTCACCTCAACGCTCTGCATGTCCCTTTTAAGAGGCTCTCCACTGAATTTGAATTCTTCCACATTTCTTTTTTTTAAAAAATTTTTAATGTTTTATTTATTTCTAGGAGAGAGAGAGAGAGAGAGAGAGAGAGAGAGAGCGTGAGCAGGGTAGGGTCAGAGAGAGAGGGAGTCACAGACTCTGAAACAGGCTCCAGGCTCTGAGCTGGCAGTCAGCACAGAGCCCGACGTGGGGCTCAAACCCACGAACCACGAGATCATGACCTAAGTGAAAGTCAGACGCTCAACCGACTAAGCCACCCAGGTGCCCCTCTTCCACATTTCTTTACAGGGGCCATGGCTCACATAGTCTGACACGGTTTAAAGATAGCAATGGCAAACACTGAACGCCAAGGGCTAACTCATCACTTGCCTTCATTCTGTCCCCCAAAATGTGCTGACTGCACACATGTGGAAGGCAACGTGATGGCAATGTGGAATCACAGGAGGGAAGACAGGGATGGTGACTGGGCTGCTCCAGGGAACGAGGAAGGCAGACATTAAAGACATGTTCAGATTCACGAACCAGCAGCATGGTCAGTGTGGCTAAGGGTGCGTACTTAGAGCTGATGAAGAGGAGGGACTGGAGGGCCATAGAAAGCCCTACTCTCTTTTCTTTTTCTTTTTTTTTTTTTTAATATTTTTATTTTATTTCTAGGAGAGAGAGAGACAGCGTGAGCAGGGGAGGGTCAGAGAGAGAGGGAATCACAGACTGAAACAGGCTCCAGGCTCTGAGCTGGCAGTCAGCACAGAGCCCGACGCGGGGCTCGAACCCATGAACCGCGAGATCATGACCTAAGCGAAAGTCGGACGCTTAACCGACTAAGCCACCCAGGCGCCCGAAAGCCCTACTTTCTAAAGGAATCTGTGGCTTCTGAACATAAAGGACACAAGACTTTCATTTCCTCTTCAAAAAATGGAGACAACTCGAGTAGTGGCCACACAGGAAACTATAAAGGTTAAATGAAATAAAGTTTGAAAATTATAGCCTGAGTCATAATAAATGAGAGTACACCTGACCTCAGTGAATGGTCGCTGCCTGCAGGGCTATGCGACATCCAATACCCCATAGAGTCCACATTCAGCCAAACCAGCACAGGCTTTCAGTGCGGCTCCATTAACACTCTCAAGGGTGTGCATGTGGAGCTCCCGCACCCCCCCACCCCCCGCAGTAAACTCTGGGAGAGGGCAGTGTCTGCAGGACTGTGAAGGAGCAGAGCCCAAGTTTCCCCTCCGGGATCAGTACCTGGCACAGAAAGGAGAGAGATCTCACAGCACAAGGAAGCTCTTTGCAGGGAACCAGCATCTTGAAAGTTGCCTGACAGAAACGGCTGCCTTGTGAATAGTAGAAAAGGGGTCACAGCTCCTTCCCTCATGCTCACTCACATTCAGACCTCTTCCGGTGATAGTTTTGAAGGCACAGTGGAGAAAACAAAATTTGTAGAAACCAGGAAATGAGTTTTAAAAATTATGAAGGAGAGAGTGATGAGAAATGGGACATTCCTAGATTTTCAGCTATTGACCATCACAACCCTAATTCAAGAGCTAGGGGAGCCTTGGTGGCTCAGCAGTTTAAGTGTCCGACTTCAACTCAGGTCATGATTTCGCAGTTCATGAGTTTGCTTCAGATTCTGTGTCTCCCTCTCTCTGCCCTGCTCACGCCTCTGTCTTTCTCTTTCTCTCAAAAGTAAATAAACATTAAAAATTTTTGAAAAAAGCTATCTCCTGGGTTAGTATTCAGTATTCAAAAGTGAGTACTTCACTCAAGCACTAAATTTAAAAAGGCACCAAATCTAAGTAATGAAGATAAACACCTTAAAGCAGTATTTTAAAATGTAAATCCATGTAAAAACATCCACGATACAAAATATCAAAATGTCAAATAAAGAGGAGAACTGACCCTGCACTTGCGAGTTCCTGAGTCTTCAACGGAGGAGACACCCTGCTATGACATTTTGGCAAATTCTCTTCAGTCTATGAATTTCTTACCGAAGAAAATAAAAAGAGCTCACCTGCTAAATGTCCTCAATTGTGCACAACACTATCTTTTATCTTTAACAATGAAGTCAAGTTGGAATACCGTGAAAGATGTTTCACTAACTAGAAGTTAAATAAAAATGACATAAGTTTGACAGGGAGACACAAGAAATTGTCAAACATACGGTTCTACCAACTGAAAAGAAGAAGTAATCTCCACTATATTATTGAGTTTGCTTCCATCAATGGTAGAAAAGTAAAGTTATATTCAATTGTGGTTTGGCTGTAAATATACTTTCAATCCCTTTGCAAAAAGTTCACTAAAATACTGTCTGAACATTTTAATATGAAAATGTTTTAATGTTTTATGTCTCATATTTTAATATCTACTATCAAATACGTCATGGTGACCAAGTCGACGACAGTGCTCGGCGAATTTCGCAATTATTGTTCGCGCCTGCGCACCGCCTTCCTCCTGGCAAATGTTGCAAGAAGGAAGCAGAGCGCTAGGTGGCGCCCGACTTCCTCACAGAGAGGATCCTGACTGGCTCCCAGGGCTGAATCCCCACTTTGGTCCAGGTGAGTCCCATCGCCTCAGTGTTTGGGCTGACCTTAACACACATGTTAAAAAACACTATAATTTTTCAATGGTTTTTAGTACTTCTAAAAATTTTTAAGTATATGCTAATATTCAATTTATTATTATGACTTTGTATAATTAATTTGTGTAATTTAATACATTACTATTTAAATAGGTAAATATATTAAAATTTGCTCTGCAAACGGCTATAAATGTAGTCCAGAATATCCTACAAAGATAAATAAAATGTTAATAACTTTTAAATTTATAAAAGTTTAACAAGTTTAACTTGTTAAAATGTTAATAACTTAAATTTAGCTTAAAATTTTTCTCAACTTTAACCCTGCCTTGGATAAAAGAGTAAGTTTGGCATTCTCTTTTTCTATGTATAAAGTATAGATATATAGAGAGTACTTAAATAGAGTAAAACTGCATCATTAAAATTTCATGAGGGGTTCAATTAGCAAAAAAATATCTACTGGGGTCAGGGGAAGGGGAGGCAACAATTAAATAAAATGGTTGAGAAACACTGCTCTAAACCCATTTGGAGAATGCAAAATGAAAAACAAAAAACAAAAGCTGGAAGTAAGAAGAGCATTCAGAAATTGAAAACAAGTGTGCTCCCTACTTAAGCCACACGCACAAGGGAAGATGTTCAGAGGACCCAGAGCCGCCGGGCATATAGGGTCGCACCCCAGCCAGGCCACCAGCACCTGCAAGGTCCCCCATGGCGCCGCCCAGCTCCTTCCTGACGGCCCTGGTGGTGCTCAGCTGCAGCTCCGTCTGCTCTCTGGGCTGTGAGCCGCCTCACACCCACGGCCTGCCCCACAGGGGGGCCTTGACGCTCCTGGGACACATGCGGACGCTCCCTGCCGCCTCCTGCCAGAAGGACAGAAGTGACTTTGCCTTCCCCACGGACGCGTTTGATGGCAGCCGGCTCCAGAAGGCTCAGGCCCTCTCTGTGCTCCACGCGACCAACCAGAAGCTCTTCCAGCTCTTCTGCACGGAGGCCTCCGCGTCTGCCGCCTGGAATGGCGCCCTCCTGGACGAGTTCTGCGCGGGGCTGGAGCAGCAGCTCACCCACCTGGAAGCCTGTCTCACGCGGGACGCGGGGGCCCGAGACGCTCCCCTCACGAATGAGGAGTCCGCACTGAGGGACTACTTCCAAAGAATCTCTCTCTACCTGCGAGAGAAGAAGTACAGCCCCTGCGCCTGGGAGATCGTCAGAGCGGAAATCATGAGAGCCGTGTATTCATCGACGGCCTTGCACAGAAGATTAAGGAGCGACAAGTGAGACCTGCCGCCACATGGAATGATTCTCCCTGACTAGAAACATGCCGTTTCCACGTGTTGTGCCGTGTCAAAGGCTCTCCTTTCTGCTGTGATTGTGACATGAACGGAATCAATTTGTCAAATGTCTTCAGGAGAATTAAGCGACATCATGTTACCTCTATAATCACTAGTCACTTTCAGATGACCTTGCCGATCTATTTATGTATCTATGTAACAATTTATTTATTTAAGTATTTATAAGATTTAAATTATATTTGAATAACATTAGGTGTACCTTCACTTTGTGGTTAAGAGAAAAAAATATATTCTTTATATTTATTGTTTATTATTTTCTTTCTTTATTAAACATTTTCTATAGAAAAATTCTTGTCTTTGTTTATTATTTAAAAAAGAAAAGAGGCGCCTGGGTGGCTCAGTCAGTTAAGCATCTCACTTTGGCCCAGGTCATGATCTTGCAGTTTGTGGGTTCGAGCCCTTCGTCAGGCTCTGTGCTAACAGCTCAGAGCCTGGAGCCGGCTTTGGATTCTGTGTCTCCCCCTCTCTCTGCACTTCCCATGCTCATGCTCTGTCTCTCACTGTCTCTCAATAATAAATAAACATTAAAAAAATAAAATAAAAAAGAAACAACTCTGATGAAAGAGTGGATTGTACAATTCACTTACTCATTATGTTATTCTCGTTACGAATTAAAAACAGGCTTTCTCTAAGCCAGTTTTTATGCTGCTGTGAGGAGAGAGGTGGACATAACAAATCTAGTCTTGCTTTTGTACCATTGATTTTTGTAGAGAAAGCAACCCAAAAACAATAATCATACTGAATTTATATCATACTGAGTATGATATACTATACTGAATATGGTATAATGAGAAGAAGAGGGAAAATAGAGTTCTCTCAGCAGGAGCTGCAGTGAAGCATGTCAGGAAACAGAAACAAAAGCAGTAGCTATCTTCTCCAATTGACTGGTAGACTTTCAAGTGCAAATATTCTTAGGAAAATGGATATTTGAGTCTGTGATTTACCAGCAACTCCATTAACTGAAAGCCTTGAAGCAGAAGTGGTCACACAGGAAGAGTAGAGCATGCGCAAAGAACTTCAGATTGATTTCTTGATCCTTCAGATGGTAAGGGAGAAAAGAGCCACGACAGAAACAGAGAAGGAATGGCCATGAGGTAGCAGGGTAAGAGAGAATACTGGTAAAAGTCTATTTCAAAGATTGAAATGGCTTCAAAGAATTGCTTCATTGTAAAATGAGCATGTAAAGTGCCCACCACACCAGAATAAAGGGGGCATCGAAGCTTTGGTGAGAGCTGGTTTGCCAGAATTCACAGAAACCATATTGGAGGGTGGGAGGGAATGGGTGAATAAGAGAAGAGAAGTTAATGTATGAGGAGCAAATAGTTTCGAGAGATGTGCCTTCTGAAATGCAACAGGAAAACAGAATGGGAATTGGGAATTACGTGAATTTTTTTTCCGCAGAGTTCTCCTTTTTGCACTGGATTTGCCTCTGGATAGATACATGGGTTTGATGTATTGGCAATCATGTTAATATGTTTCGTGTTGTGTATATTTTGAAGCATGACATCTTTCATTACTCACCATGATAATCTATGATTATTTTGATGCGTGCTAGGTGGAATGTCAGGACACTGCTCTGTGGATGGAAACCAACTGGTTCGTGGGGAAGCAGATGGAACTTGACCTCATGAGAGCTGCTTTGGTGGAATTCACAAGCAGGGGCCACAGTGAGCAGAAGGAAGGTGGTAGCAGCAGGCTAGGGGTCCCACTGTCTTTCTCTCCCCTGGGAGCCACACTGGTGGTTCCACTGCCATCTGAGTCAGATGATTGGCTCCTAAGAGCCAATTTTGTTCAGTTCATTGTACCCAGTACATCATGTTCAGCTTTTAACAAAAATTTACAAGGCATACTAAAAAGCAAAAGACACAGTTTGAAGAGATATAAACATGCATCCGAACTAGGCTCAGTCAGATATGACAGACGTTTTGGAACTATCGGACCAGGAATTTAAAACAACTATCATTGTCGTTAAAAGCCATGTTTCTGGTTGGAATCAAGGAGATGTTGTTCTTTGTCTCAATATCACAGACAGTTTTCTAGTTGTTTCTGCTAGGAGGTGCTGTTCAAACCTTCTTCATTCCTCATGACCGGAACTGCACTACTTTCCTTTTTGAAATCGAATCTTACCTCAATTCTGTTTTCCAGGAGGATTTCATTTTCATCTCTCATGTGACAGGAGAGTTGACATTGATCTCTGCCTGGATTGGCAGGTAATCATTGTGGAATCATTTCTGGAGTTGATGTCACTATTTGAACATCAGGTATATCCTGATGACAGTTCCTAAACCGAACTGTTGTGATAACATACCCATTTTGGACATTATATGTTTAACCAATCTGGTTACTTAACTTTCCTCCTTGCTACATTGCATTTTCTGTTGTTATGAAATGTATCTTAATTTCACATAGGGATTGATATGGCAACACTTCTCTATTGCTCCCTTCCTTCCATATCAAATGAAGATTCAATCTTTTGGTGGGGCAATGAATTCGGAAAAATCATATATGCTTACACATCATTAAATAATGAATTTGCAATAAGTATAACACCCAGGGACACTTCTCTCATAAGACGAAAACATGAAAGTGAATCAGAAAATTTCTCTTCTCCAATATGTAAGGGCAAAATTAGGTGAAAGCCAGTAAAAAGCAAGGGCATCACAAATAAAAGACATAGAACAAGAAAGTGTGTAAATCTGGGGTTAAAATGTATGAAAACTTCAAAATAAGAATTGTAAGGAATACTTATGACATGTAATAGCAGATTATTTACTGCATCTAGATTTTGTTAAGGAATCTACATATTTGATCCTGAGTAATTCACTTAACCTCTTTGGGCCTCACTTTCCCCAAACAGAAAGTATGTTGGAAATGTTCCTAGAGTGGTGAGTATTAAATAATCTAGAACATTTAGAAGCACTTAGCAGAGTACTTCTCACTGAATGAAGCCTTAACATTATTTTCTTATTTATTCATAGAGACCTATAAGAGAATAATTAACTTTTCCTAGCCTTTTCTCTGTAACTGATGGCAAAAATGCTGATAGTCTAAAAAAAACAGAATTGGAAACAAGTGGCTTATCAATGAAATTACATACATACAACTATACTATGTACACATTAGATGCTCTATGTATATACACATGCACTATGTATTCTGATATTAGCACATTCCTCCTTCCTCCTGCTTCCCCAGATCTTAATCTTCACTCCCATAACACAGTGTTTCCTTCCGCCCCAGTGTAGAAACCCCCAATGAGCTCTGCCCTCCTCACTCACTCCTCCTGAACCTGCCCTGCCCATTCATACAACTGCTTCCTTTTCCCTTGTGGTTTCTGGCCAAGTACAAAAGCCACTAACTGAAACCAAGAGTTGTGTGAAAAGTTCTAGGGTTTTGGAAACTCTTATAGGAGATCTTCCTTTTCTTCTGGTGACTATTTTTGGACATGAGGGAATGTTCCTGCTGCAGTGATGTAACTAACAGCTGTAGGGAAAAAGGAAAGAGAAAGCAGAATCATTTTAGTCAATGGCCCGTCAAAATACTTACAAAGGAAGAGTGCCACCTACTTGCCAAGATGGACAAAGACAGTAACAGAGTAGGGAGACCTGGCTTGTGTTCTACAGAAGTCTGTTCCCAAGCAGGAGACTTTTCTACAGAGAAAAATGGGTCTTTCCTGTAAAGAACTGACTCCAATAACATAATAAGTCAATTTCTGTACCTTTGACATATATTTGAAAAAACATAGTTTTTTTTTTTTTTTTTTTGAGTGAGCATGTGGGGGAGTCGCAGAGGAAGACAGGGACAGAGGATCTGAAGCAGGCTCTGTGCTGACAGCAGAGTCTGATGCGGGCCTTGAAATCTCAAAACATGAGATCATGACCTCAGCTGAAGTCAGATGTTTAACCAAGTGAGGCACCAAGAGCCTTTAGCTTAACAGCAAAACTGAGTACAAGATCTAGAGACTTTTCACATACTCCTTGGTTCTGGATGTGAATAGTCTCCCCCATTACCAACATTTCCACACCAGATGGAACCGTTGTTACAACCGCTTCCAAGGGTGTAACCATTAGTTCTTAGGGTTGTGAACCAACCTGAAATATTGCAATGGTGTGTGGCACTCCAAAGATCAACAGTGGGCCAGTCTAACAAAACATTACTCCTTAGTATTTATTTTCTCTCATTGGATTTTCTTGGGTATCATATGAGAAGCATGGACATTGTATTTGTGGAATAGACAAAATGTCTGCAAGAGCAATGTGACAAACCTGGGGCTAAACCGTCTCTGTGATTGGAGAGGTTTCTCTCCATTGTTTCCTGGATGTCAAAGTCATCACGGGAGAGGTGTCCTTTGCTTACTCGTGAGCTGCCATTGGCTGTCTTGTGGATGTTGCTTCTGTCTGAGCCTCAATGTGATGCGGGCTTTGGGAATTAAATACAAATATATTCTATTTTATGATTTAATTCTACAAAACTCATTCAACACATCAGTAATTATCTAGTGCTAAACAGAAAAAAAAATATTGTGACAATACCTTCAAGAGTATCTAGCAGCAGGTTAAGTTAAAATTTATTTTATTGGGGCACCTGGATGGCTCAGTTGGTTAAGCTTCTGACTCTTAATCTCGGCTCAGGTCACAATCTCACAGTTCACGAGTTTGAGTCCTATGTCGGGCTCTGTGCTGATGGCATGGAGCCTACACTGGATTCTGTCTCTCCTCTCTGCCCCTCTGCGGCTTGTGCTGTCTCTCAAATAAATAAATTAATTAATTTAAAAAATATTTTCTCATATGAGGCAATATTAAAATTCATTACATTGAAAAGAATTTTGAACAAATTATTAAAATTTTCTCTTGCTTTTAGCAATTTGGAGTGATTTAAATACTTAAGTACATTGAAATTGTTATGTCTTTATAAAAATTTTAATGTGTTTATGTACTTTATATAAAATTTATATAAGTAAATATGTTATAAGTCACAAATCAAATTTAGTTCTATACTTAA